ATTTATGAATTGAGATTTATTATGAATCAAGATTTTTCATTAATTATCCTATTCTTCTTGGTATTTACTAAATAAGAGATTTATTCAAATTAACCTATGTCACTTGACTCCTTGATATTTATGACTTAAATTGCCTTATATTTATGATTTGTATATCTCATGATATGTTTGAATCATTGACGTAAAAAGAAAAAAATTATACTATTGTATTCTTTCCTTCTCTGTTTGATAATAACAAAGAGGGAGAAAGTCTTGCTTCTTGCACTTCTCAAGAGAAAAATGCTAGCTTACTCCTCTTAAGAGAAGCAAAACTTGCTAGCCTTCACACTTCAAAGAGAAGTAACACTTGCCAATTTGTTAGCTTACATGTTCTAAAGTGATGTAAATATTGCTAAATTGCTAGCTTGAAAACTTGCTAGTTGCACTTCTCCTTTTTATTGATAACAAATGGAGAGAAGTTATGATGATGATCATGCATAGTAAACTATGATGTTTTGAAATTATGATTATGCATGAAATACTCATAATTTTAAAATGCATGCAATGATATGATTAATTGGTTCTTTCAATATTCATGATGCATGTAATGATGAAATAGTCATGATTTTATGATTTCAAAAGTTTATATCAATATGACATATTGATAAGGGGAGTTTAGTTAAACTTCATCATCAATTAGTTATCATCATAAAAAAATAGGGAGATTATTGAATCTTGAATTTTGATGACGAAACCAATTAATAAAGTTATGATCTAATGTATATTTAAGTGACATGAGACTAGCTTCGATCAAGGAGAGACAAATTGATTAAAGCAGGAAGAATCAATTGTTGGGCCAGAATGGACAATGTTAGAAGATTGGTCGATGTATCGGCAGAAAGCTTCGTGTCATGAGTTTGGGTATCAGGCCAGAAGGATCGGATATTACATTAAGAATATCAGATATTGCTAGAGGTCAACATGCCAATTGGGCAATACGCCAAAAGAAAGGTCGATGAGCCAAAGGGTCGGACGAAGCGTTGGATGAACCAATGACATGCTAGACAAATATGTGACTCATGCTTTGTAATAATTTGTCTAGATCGAAATAGTTTAGGTTATAATTAAGTTGGTTTTGAATGTAATTAGGTCAACTCAATTAGGGATCAATTGGGCCTAAATTAGGACTAATATGAGCTCATTAGGAGGCTCATTCAATGACCCAAAAGTTGGGTTAGGTGGTGGCACCGTCGGTCCAAGCGGTGGAACTAATAGAGGCTCGGTCTCCAAGACATAGTCTTTAAGATTGTGTCAGGCGATAGTACCACCAGACTAGGTGGTGGTACCATCTAGTATCAGTGCTACAGGCGATGGTATAACCAAGCACAAGCGGTACCACCAATATCCCTAAATCTGAAGGATTTAAATTTTGGCTCTAATTTTTAAAGTCATTTGGGGTCTATAAATACTCCAATATTTTCTACTTAAGGAAGCAAGGGAAAGTAAAATAAAACTCTATGATTATAAAGTTGTAAACCCTTGTAAAATGCAGAGTCCCTCAGCCTAAAGTTATAGACTATTATAAGGGAGAGTGTGAGGGAAACTTTATAAAAAAGGGGTATAAATGTTCTCTCTTAAGCCTGCCAAAAAGAGAAAAAAGTTATAAGAGAGTAGTTGGCCTTTGCCCATTAAAGAAAGACCATTAGTGGATGCTGGTGGCCTCAACGGAGGAGGAATCAGGAGTGGACGTAGGTCATTACGATCGAACCACTATAAATATGATGTGCTATTTTCTTTTAACATTTATCTTTATTACTTACTGATTCTATTGCTCATTACATTCTACGAACAATTTCAAGTTAAGCATCTTTCCGATATAGGGTTTATCGAATGAGGTTTTTCTAAATCATTATTTTTACAAAAGCACTAATTGTCAAGATTTGACTTGTCCTCTGACTTGCTGAGCTCCCTTAAGCGAATATGAGCTCTAGAGCAGTCCATTTCGGTCATAACAATAACATTCGCTTTTGATGTCGATTTCGGTCATAACAGTAATATTTGCTTACTCGACCTTGTCCTTTGACTTGCCGAGATCCCTTAAGCGAATATGAGCTCTGGAGCAGTCCAACTCTCCAACTGCTCCGATTATATCTCTGTATGATCAAGTCCCCACCCCCCTCCCCCCACCATGAGACTCACTAATACTTGTATTTGAAATTCTCCCTCAGTGGTACACAGCCCCCATATGCTGATGACCAAGGCTTTTTATCCGATGTAAAATTTGATGCACGTACGGAAGACCTACCTCTACGATACCATGACATTCACTCCTTGAATTCATAGCCTTTCTTGCTATCATGTTGTTCACCATAGTAAAGCTCCCAATAGCTCCCGATCATATCTTTATATGATCTAGACCCTTGCGGGAAAAGTTTCGTGTGAATCACATTGTCACGAACTATTCTATCATGATCCGTTGCACCATATCGCCTCCTGGTGATATCTCCATTTCATTTTGATCAATGTGGGATGAACTTAGATTGTGATCCATCCATGCGTGGCCTTTACCAACAAATCGCAGAGCCTCTTCTACCTTCGATTGTATTCGCTTCTTTAGCAATCGACCTTCGTCCACCCGCTCTAGGGTTACACCCAAACAAAGCACCGTTTTAGGACAGTCCCTCCCCTAGTAGCTCCTAAAGTCCATCGACTTTATTGAAATTGGTGCACCATTGTTTGGATCCTGGGCCTTTGCCCCCACCAGCACAATATCCGTTGTGCATCGCTTACTTCATGACAACTTGAATGACATCACTATGGTACATTCTTCAATAGTACCTATCTCTGCATCCTCTTGCCCCTTGCCAAGGCCTTCTAAATCGAACTTCATCTTCGTAAGTTAAGTCGCCTTGGTTTCTCCATCAAATGCTTCTCTGAGATAAGGTGCATGTGCCTTGATGCCCCCTTCGTCTTTGGCACCATGTAGGATGAGTCTGCTCCATCAGAATGAGGGACGTGACATATGGAACGACATGATCCCACTCTTGCCTCTGCAAGAGTTCATCTCCTTGACCTTTGTCCAAGAAAAGCTTTATACCTCCGCTCTATGTTACATCTTCTATGTCGACTCCCTTCATGCGGCTTAGGTATTTCACCAAGTTACACCTAAGTTGCTCTGCTCCTTTATTTGCATTGAGTTAATAATGACTCTTACGCCCACCATTCCATGGGTTAGCCCTCCGTTGAGTCTGATCTCCATATCGGTTTCAAGTGTGCATTCATTTTGTGTTGCCTTGGGTCGCTCCCCCACTTGATCTCATAATGTATCCACCAATGCATTACCTCGTGTAAGATCATGCGAGATCATGCGATATAAATCCTCATCATCGCTCAGTTTGTTGAGCTTTATGGAGTTATCGTCTTGAGATATTCCTCAATATGTGCGGTTCGTTGTACATGATTCTCCATCTGAAGAACCGAGACTTATCCCTCCAAGGTATCTATATCGTTAAAGCAACTTCTCTCTTCATATCCTTCTCTCTTGAAGTTTCAGAAACCACCATCCCATTGGATTACTTTGCCATGTTGAACAAACTATGCATTATTCTACCCCCATAAATACACTTGCTAGATTGAGACTCCTCATCAATACAACCCTTGAGGCCTAGCAACATGCTGAACTCGCTGCATACTTCAGCCTCGTACGGACGCATCCTTCTCATGCCGAAGAGAAAGTTTTAATGCTCCATAGTGTCAAGTTTTAATCGTCTTGGGATGGCCCTGAGCATTCCATCATTCATATACAAGCTCTTACATGAGTACCGAATTTTTTGAGTTAACAATTCCCCTCACATCTGTGAGCTTTGCATAACTCTTTCGGTCATTGAGCAACCCATTCCACTTTATACTGTCTTATCCTTTACCAAACACCTCGCTTGCCTTAATCACCATCAAGTATGGTTGCCATTGTCGAGCCGTAATTGGAACTCAAACATCCTAACCTTAGTGTGCTACGTATTCTTCCCAGCTTACTTGTCTTCGTAGCGCCACTTACGTGAAAGGTTGGCCATTCCTCTGAATGTCGATCTTAGATGTCTGCTCCTCTAAGCGACTCCTTTTCCCTACATCTCCATGCTTGTTTCTCCAAACGGTCACGCGTGTTGGCTACCCTCAATGCAACCTCGCTAGGTCCCCTACGTTTGCATACAATGTATTTCTATGTATACTTGTCTCGCTCTGATATTATATGTCACACATTTAGTTGACTTTGCATAAGTCGTGCGGCACCCTTGCTTGTCCATCTGCAAAGGTCAACCTCTCCGAATCTTCCTTTGGTCCCTCAGGACTTATAAAAGATAAAACGAAGTAGAAAAAATATCTGACTCGGGATCCACAGGCAATCATTTCAATAAACACTTCATAGCCAATGCAAATTACAAACGGACTTCACAAGCTCTGAACGAACGCACAACAAAGGGTCCAAAATAGTCCACTATAAATAAAAAATCTCAATTAGTGTCCACATGATACAATATTTGTTTGTAGGCCTAAAACGATCACTAAAACCAAATAAAATGATGTTGCTAAACCTACTATCTAACCCTTTACATGCTATGTAGAACATGAACTAAATCGAAAGACACGAACATGAGCATTACATCAAACATCTCGTTTACAATTTTATCCGTGACAAATCGGTGGGTGAGTAGGTTGGAACGAGAAAGGAAAGAGAAAATTAAAGTTTATAAAATTAATAATTTAAAGATAGTAAAATTATATTTTTATCATTTTCATTAACGTGTCCGTGACAACATGTGCTTTTTTTTCATTGAAAAAGTTAATAACGTAAGAAAAATTAAAATTAAATATTTTACTTATCTAAATGTAGAAATCTTAATACTAATTTTTAAAACATAAAGACTGAGATATTAATAATAGTTAACTATTGAGGAAATACGTAATTACACATAAAATTTCAGATAAACGTCTAATACGTTATATCAAATGTCTTGGCGTCCGAACCCTTCTGTTAAGTCAAGAAATTGACGAGCCAAATGTCACTCCTCATCCTTCCGATGTAAATCCACTCTCTCCGACACCCTCGAAGTCGGTAATCGGTCTCAGTTATGGCGATGGAAAACGATCGACGCACAGCAGGAGTGGAGGAAGACGAGAGCGACGAAGCCCTAGAATTCCTTCTAGAAGCTTCTAAAACCCCCGGGGGACGCGCCCACCTCGCCTCCACCGGAGCCCTCGCCGCGGCGCTCCGCCGCGTTTCCTCCGACACCTCGTCCGCCCTCCTCCCCTCCCTCCGCCTCGTCAGGAACCTGTGCGCCGGGGATGCCGTCCACCAGGACGCCTTCGTCGAACTCGGCGGTCCCGATCGAATCGCCTCCGTCCTGTTGAGCACGCCGCCGGCGTCGCCGGACGTCGCCCGTGTCGCGCTGCAGGCGATTGGGAACCTCGCCTGTGGTGGAGAGGCACAACGGTCCGCCGTGTGGGCCCGCTTCTTCCCTTCCTTGTTCCTCGCAGCGGCTCGGTACCGGGACCCGGCGGTTTGCGATCCCCTTTGCATGGTTTTGGATACGTGCTGTTCATCCGAGGGGGGGCATCGGAGGTTGGCGGAGCTTTGCGAGACCAAGACCGGACTGCCAATTATTCTGGAGATCGTCACCACAGCTTGCCGAGGTTGATTTTTAACTTACCCCTTCATCTAAATTGACTTTAAAACCCTAAACCCTAAAAGTAAGATCCCTTTTCGTATGTGTACTAGATGTAAGTTTATAAAAGATCAAGGAGAAATATGGTTTCATTGCTCCTAAATTTGTGGTTCTCTTAAAATTTAAGTTCCTGGAATTGGCGAAGGTAAAAAAATGATGTTATACTTTTTTGGAGATTATGGTTTTGTGTGCATAGATCAGCATAGTGGATCATGTATTTGGATTAATTATGAAATATTTCTCTTTATTGTTCATTATTAGCTGCATTTTATCTTGTTTAGTGCATTGAAAGGATTGGGCATTTAGTTTTGGCTGTAATAGCCACAACTGTGCTTTATTGGAAATGTAAATTCTTGAAGTTATGGGAAAGATAGAATTCGATATTTAGTTCTCAAGTTTAGTAAATTACATGCTCTTATTGTTTGCGTGAAGGATTTGCTATTTGTTTCTTAGTTGCATTAAGAAGGATCTTCTGATTACTGATTGGCCCCCTCTTAATTGGAGTGTTACCATTGATGACCATTGTTTTTGATTATCCATGCAGCTGGTCATCAAGAGGAGTGGTTGGATTGGCTCCTTTGCAAAGTTTGCATCGAAGAGGCATACCTTTCACGTCTTTTTCAAGGATTAGCCTCACCAAGTACAGATAACTCCATTGATGCTCAGTGCAGATATTCCTTCTTCACTAGAGAGCAGGCATTCCTTCTTGGAATGCTATCAGAATACTTGAGTAACCGACCTAAAGATGTTTCCATGATTTCCAGTCCTTTTGCACTTGAAGTTCTGAAAGTTCTAGATATAGCTTCTGCAATTGTTGATTTTTCATCTCGAGGAAGTTCTGATGTACCCACTGGCTTCCCTGCAATTGATGTTCTAGGCTATTCTCTTACAATTTTGAGGCATATTTGTGCTTGGGAAAATGATATTGCTCATGCTACAGAAGCCCCTGTCGACTTGTTGCTATCTGCAGGCCTTCTACAACTTCTTTTACATTTACTCGGTGAACTTGAGCCACCAGCAATTATAAGAAAATCCATGACAAACGCGGATCACTTTATACAGTCATCAACGGCTTTAAAGGTCTGCCCTTATAAGGGGTTCCGGAGAGATTTAGTATCCATTATTGGAAATTGTCTACACGGAAGGAAGCAAGTTCAGGTGGAGATCAGACAGCAAAATGCAATTCCTTTGCTTTTGCAACAGTGTGTTGTTGATGAAGACAACCCCTTTCTAAGAGAATGGGGACTATGGTCAATGAGGAACTTGCTAGAGGGAAATCCAGAAAACCAGCATGAAGTAGCTCAACTGCAGCTGCAAGAGCCTGTCAATACACCTGAAATTGCTGGAATAGGCCTAAGAGTCGAAATAGATGAGAAAACTGGACACCCGAAGCTGGTAAATATTGTATGAGGTACGCTTATTTGGCAATTGTGCCCACAATGGGCAATAGCCTGGTTAAGCTTGGAATTAGTGGATCAATTCAGTCTGCAGTATTGTTTTTTTGGGTGGTCTAGCAACTGCAGAACTCCTAATATTTTATTTGCCCTCTCTAACAACAGATGTACTTTGAATTTAGTTTCCATAATTCTTGTTATGCAACAGTATTTCATGGAAAATACATGGTTTTATATGCACACAATGCTTTTCTCTAAGACCTTATTTATAATGACTTTGTGAATATACTTGCCAAGTCATAAGGAAATCATATTGATACTCTATTCTTGCTGGTAAGATTTTCATCATCTAGTCATTTTTCCAGTTTATCCAATAAACTTATGAATTTCTAACTTCCTACTGTGATCTTTAGAGAATGGAGTATGAAGTTCTCAGACAAGTTTGTTCAGACTTGTCAGGTACAAATTCATACCTGGTGCCTGACATGATTAAAGGCAATGTATCACATTTTTAAATGTTTTTCTGTATAACTCCATCATATCTATAAAAGGAATTCTGCTTTTGTTACTTATTTAACCCATGTTCATTTTAGATGATAGATAGGCTTTCGATAACATGAACTAATATTTATTAAGGACAACTTATGTTTGGGTAAGTATATGTTCATTTGTTGTTAAGTTGGTCACATTAATGCACTTTTCTATACAACATGAACAATTAATTTAAGAAAACTGGCTGATAATGTTCAAAAATATCTTTAGAGATGACATATTTACTGGATCTAAAAATTAAATTGGTTTTATTAATTGGTTAAGGTTGTAATGTTGCAATCCACATGCATTATGTATTCAGATTGTAAAAAGTCCGAAGTCCGTAGAAGTACTTACATCTAGTAGGTCTTTCCTCCTAAAACTTTAAATGACTGCATGCCTAAATTAAAATTAAGCATAAAGGTTTCCTTAACCTATAAAAGGGTTGTGCCTTAGTTATCTCATTACCTTTTAAATTAAGTTAGCTGTTGATTGCAACTCTATGTTGAAATAGCTCAATGATTTATTTAGCTTCAAAACCAGCTTTGAACATGAACCCAACATTTTAGCTGGTATTACAATGCAAAAGTATACTTTGGCAAGAGAGGGAATTCCCATAAAGTAAGAACTCATGTTTATAGGTAGAAAGATAACTGTTGCTGTTAAATTTAACCATGAACTAAGTAATGACAATGCTTTCCTGGAGGTAGTTTAGACGAAGGGGAAGAATCAAGCTTGAGATTTGTAATGCTGAGGCATTTCATGATCAAAGCTCATATGTTTATAGTAATCTTGTATAAGTACTTTGAACAGCACAAGTTCTGAATACATTGTTGCCCTGCCACATACAATGTGTAACCATTCTAACAAAAATGAAGGTTCCCACCAAAAATTTTAGTTCTGCATGATACTATTAGGATCTTGATGTTAAGTAAATTTCTTGATTGCTGTACACCCTGGTGGTTCTGTTCTGTTAACACTGTATGCTAGTATTGTAATAATCAGGAGAATTGTTCGAAATTGTTTCACACAAACATTGACTTGATATACATTCAGCATTGCATTCTTGATAATTAGCAGAGTTTTGGCTTGTGTTCCTTTTAAAGTATTTCTATATTCCAGAAATATTGGCTGGTTATCTTTTCTGCATGCTGCCGCTGCGGTTCCAGTAACTGTTTTCTGTGTAGGCTTATTACAGCCAATAGAAGTAATCATGTTGAACTCTGTTAGTACTTTAATAATCTGGCTGACATTTCTTCCTTTCTAACCAAACATTTCTTACCTTATGAATTATGATAGTTCAAAATTATGCCCATGAGTTCATGTGACATATTTCAAGTGTTGAAGCTTTCTTTCAGTCAACTATTGAGAAAAATACGAGTAAAAAAGTTGTTGTTCTGTAGATTAATACTAATTGTACAATTATCTTCGTAAATGTAAGCAAAAAAAGCTGATCTGTAAGGAACCCTCCTTATGTAGGGATTATCTTTCTGTCATAACTTTTTAACTACTGTCTTTCTGGTTCATACTTTTTGAATTTAAGCTGCAATCCTTTTTTCCATTTGCACCTCACATTTAGGAGATGTAACTTAACCAGTCATTTCCACTTTCTGGGGCATATCTGCTTAACAGCTGGTTAATTACCGTTGTTCTCTATACTTGCTCACTCCTGGTATTGGAGTCGGACCACAAAACAGCTTCATAACAAGTTATAGGAATTTTACCATGACTCCTAGCACTATAGTGTGTGCAGGAACCAGCAAATGCAACCTGCATACGCCAAAGTCCATGATTCCAACTTATTGCTGTAACTTGTATGTTATCCTTGGTTTACATATTTTAACCCAGTGGAAGTGCTACTTTTTGCTTACTCTGATTGTGTTTGAACTTCTTGCATTGATCTTCTCTTGCATGCAAAACTCCTTTGACTATAAACATTGATATTATTACTTTTGTCATTCAAGTTTCTGTATCAGTCACCAAGCTTGACAGATCAAGGTTGGTCCTTCTCTGTTATTTGGATATTATGACACTGACACCAACACCAACATATGCTTTTGTTCTTGCTTTGCTTCTTTCTTTTCTAAATATCACCTCTTGGTCAATGCATATATCTATATCATGATATAGCAGGCTGGTTGATGGGCAGTTTCATTTGCAAACATCATGAGATTGATCTGTGTGGAATGGTTGTTTGAAACCAGTAGCCTGTTCTAGGTGTCATATGACACTATTGTACTCAGATTTTACTCTCAGCAAGACTTTGTTTTATGATCCCTTACGGATCTGAGTGTATGTCCATTCTGAAAGTTCTCATGGTAAATGTAACTAATGCAGACAATTTTATTTTATTTTTGGTGTGAAGCATGAGAATGCACAGCTGGTCAGCTACAGTTAACAGTCAGTCACAAAGAAGAATGACTGAGAGTTGTCGAGGACATCATGATAATCATCTGTTAGCAAACTCAATAACAGAAGGATCTTGTACCAAATTCAATGAAGCTGGATCCAGTAGAGCTGACTGTCAACTCAATGTCACCCCACTGTTTATAATTGGATCTTGTAATGTTGGTGCGAACCTTGATCGAGTGCAACAAGCTGTTGTGGCATCAGATATGAACTCCATCCTGCAACAAGAGTGCCCCTTACTAATGGACGTGTGAAGAAGTTAATCGGTGCTTCGGTAAGGTGAAGCCCAAGTGAGTCCTAACCTCCTTTTTCTTGTTAATAGGGGTTGCTTAATTGCGTGCAAATAAATCGCTTATAAATTTATTTGTAGTAGGTAATCTATTTGCAGACATTATCTACAAGTAGATTGCCTGTGGGCAGAATGTATAAAGTGGTCTGCACTGCCCTGTTCCTGCAAAGAGGAGGTTCATTGCCTCCAACATTAGCAGGTATTAAATGAAATAAAGCATGTTTTTGTTTTCCCAAATGGTAGGCCACGGAAGATGAAACTTCCACTGCCTGCCAGGAGAGACTTTGGTGACAAGCCCGAAGCTGCTCATGGATGATCTCCTAAGCAAGTATTTGGGTAAGATTCTTACATAGTCATCTTCATTTAGTAGGAAGTTATTCCGGTTGAGTTAACATTTTACAAATGAGGACCTCATGATTTGGTTACTAGAAATTTGGTAAGCTTAAGCATATTCCAACATTATCTTTCTCGTGCAAATTAGATTAGGCTTGATGTACTAGCCAAATTCAACTGCACAAGTATTGATTTATCTTATCATAGATAGAAATAATTTTGATGCATCCATGGGAACTATAGCAGCGTCAGAAAGAAGTCACATCTGCAATCTATGGATGGCTGGCCATATAGTTAAGAAATAAAAAGAAGGCAGAAAATGATGTGCATTATAACAAAACAAGTCACACGTGCTGCTTGCATCTGGAAACGTCTAATAGTTATAGTGGCATGTTAGGGAGGAAACTCCGTACAGATCCCTGAAAGCATAGTTACACAGAAACACCGTATTGGATTAGTATACAATGTTTCATCTTTATCAAGCCAATCTTCTGTGGCATATATGAGCCAGTTAGGTCTTGATGATCCTGTAAAAGAATGCTAGGGGGGTTGAAGTGATTGATCCGCATCATTGCGAAGAAAAGATCATATGGTAACGTTCTCCTCAATGGATAATGTTTTGTTGAAATTTGTTGCCCAAGTTGGATGTGACTTGCAGCCAACCAACACTCTATGCTGCATCTACCTCGTGTTGGTACTACGAACGGTCGAATCCAGAAGAATATCCAATAGGCATGATGTAGTTGGCAACGTTTGAAGACTATCGTTGTGTCAATTACGCATGGTGAGAGTACTATGGACATGATGTCCAAGTGTCGATCATTTGGAATCAAGGTGTTGGCTTCCTGACACCAAAATATTAGCCACCTAGCATCAAGGTGTAACGATAAGGTCAGTGATTTCAACTGGTGTTCGGGTGCTCGCCTAAGCACTCGGGCGAGGTGAGGCAAGGCCCGAGCGCCTTATTTCATTTTTAAGCGGCACGCTTGAAAGAGGTGTCGCTTGGGCGCTCGCACTAATTGAACCAATTAAAACACCGATATCCTTCCTCTTATAACTTCTCTAACCGTAACCCTGCTTGCTGCTCCCGTTGTCGTTGTCATTGTTGTCGCTCCCACTCTCATTGCTCGTTGCCGTTGTCACTGTCGTCGCTCTCGCTACTGCCATTGTCATCGCTCTCACTGTCGTGGTTGCCGTTGCCACTGTTGTCGCTCCTGCTCCTGCTGTTGCTGCTCATTGCTACCATTGTCATTGCCACTATCGCCACTCATCGCTCTTGCTCCCGCTGTCGTTGCTCATTGCTATCGCTGCCACTATCGTTACCGCTTTTCTCAGTTAGCAGCCTCGATCTTCCCTTACTCACACTCTTCTCTTTCGATGGTATATTATTAACAATATATTGCTAACTGTATATTAGTAACAATATTTTTATTTATTAGATTAATAATATATTATTTTAATTTTAATATTATTAATTTTTATTTATTTAAAATTATTGTTAGGTTTCAGGATAAATGACAAGTGTACAAAGCAACTCAATAGATTCTTCAATGGCATCAAAAAAAGATCCTGTATAGAAGTATAATTATCTAAAGGATCCGAAAGATTCTAATGACTTACATGTTTTGCGATAAGACTACTAAATGTGGTAATTTTTGTGCAAAACAACATCTAGTAGGAAAT